TATATCTTTAGTTACTTTGCAGATTCGGATTAATAATGTAAAATGTAATCAACTCTTAAATGAGACTTTAGTTACACCTGGAGTAACATTCACAAGCTACCATACAAGTCATTAAAACTAGCTGCAGCTTTACCAGCTTTGATAAACACTTTAATGCATCAATAATTATAATACAAATATATAATGAATTATTCTGAAATGGACCAATCTGCATAATGACTGCTTGGTACTTTAAGTATGTTGACGCTAATACTTTTGTACTTTTACTCGAGTAACATTTTGAATGCAGGACTTCTACTTGCAAGAGAGTATTCCTACACTCTGGTACAGATACTTTTACTAAAGTACAAGATCTCAGTACTTCTCCCACCTCTGACTATAGCATGCAAACAACTAGGTGATTGTGTCTAAAACAGGGCGATTAAATAAATAGTAATTGTTGAGAAATGCATTCGTTTTGATGAGGTTTGTGAACACCTTGCTAAGCCGATAGCAGTGGGCTCTTTCCCCGCATAGGCCATTTTCTCTGCTCGGGAATTTAAAAGGCTCAGTTAAATGCCCGCTCGACCACGCTGTAGGTCAAAGGAATCAAAGCAGCCTTTCCATAATGCCATTTTTCACACGGTGGTACACTTCCAGCGAGAAATAAATACCACATCTCACACTATGGTTATCATTCAGACACTACGAGCACCACGAGTGATGCTACACAAGTTAACTGCTCATAAACACTCGCATTGTTTAAAACACATCACACTGCGATGAAAATAAACATCTCGGCTCAAACACAGAGAATTTCTCCAAACACGACAGCAACCTAATGAACTTTACATCTTGGAGGTTATTCCATGTGCCACTTACCAGTACGACGGGAATGCCCCCCAGACCCCTTTGTCTCAGTCCGACATCCTGAACTCCTCTTCGGCTCAACTTTGAGAAACACCTCTCTTTTTCGGCGACAAGACAACGGTTGAATCCGCTGGCAAGTTCATAAAATAGCTGCCACCGATAAATTCCAGCAACAGGCGTCAGGTAGCGCCGTTTTCCCCCCACTGTTTACACTTTTCCGTGAGGTTTTGCTTCGCCGTTTTCTCTCCGGTAGCTCCGTGGTAACAAAGTAACGTCCTCGGCTGCACCAGCTGCTGCTGTTGCGGTGGGCTCATGCGTTCGACGTGAAGGGCCCTCCTCCTGCATGGGAGTTGTAGTCCTTTAGAGTTGAGTGTCAGTACTACAAACACCCACACATCAGAATCGAGTTTATTGCCAGGTACGTTTACACCACATACAAGGGAATTTGCTTTGGGGTATGGAAGTGCACACGTACAACAAACATAAGAAAATAAGATGTAAGAAAGTGTCACAAAGACAACGACTATAACAAATATACAAACGTTTTAACATTAAAAAGAACAAAAACAAGTATTTACACCAAATATACAAAATAAATCTTAGTACAATCAATATATGACAATGTATGACAAACTGCAATATTTATTTTTTAAAAAGTAGGGCTGTGCAGCAGATGTTCCCAAAACAGTTTTAATGTATAATTATACTATTATTTTTTCCTTTACTATATTTTTCAAATTCCTATAAATATTCAAAGTATTTGTTTCAATATTATGCCTTAATCATTTAAATATTTTCTCAGAATTATGACTTTTATCTCAGAAAAGAGATTAAAGTCAGAATTCAATTATTTGTTTAACTTTTGGTCACATCCCACGTTTTTTGCATGATGAGGCCTTAATCCTCTTCCGTAAGACATCATAACATCACGTCTGCTCATTAAAACACATTATACTGCATAAATACTATAGCAACTATAGCAATATGATTTCACTTCCAAGTGTTTTTTGTCTTTTTGTGCAAAAGAAAAAAAAACATGTGGAAAACTTACAGCTCCTCTGTAAGACAGTACCAGAGGAATGGAAACAAATGGTATTGGAAAATGTAAAACGTTGTAATACCATCATGATGAATGATACTGCTGAAACCCATGGCTTCAAATTCCATACAATTTAAAGGGGTTCCCCAACTGTGGCTGACTTTTCCTCCCTTGTGTGCCCCCTGGTGTCAGAACAACTGAAATTCACTGAAGCATGCCATTGCTTACTAATCCCTTCACATTCTCATTACATGTGAAATTAAGTGAAGGCAAGTATTACAAACTGAATAAAGATATCTCAGGATTAACTGTCATCCTTAGCATTAGCTTTTCTATCAGCCTCATTCAGATACTCCTGGTCAGCATAGAGGAGAAAGCCAGTGAAGGTGCTGTCTGTCCAGAAAGGATCAAAGAAGAGTCCGTTCTGCTCTGCGTAGAAGATCTGCAGCCACACCTGGTCAGACTGCTGCAGCTGGAGGACAGTAGAACCAGACGCCACATCATGGTTCCCTGTGTTTGCATCAAATGTTCTGATCTTATACTGTCCATTGTGTAGCAGCCCAATGGCCAGGTGCTTGTTTGCCAGAGTGATATCATATGTGAAGTAATAGACCCCGGGGACAGCACAGACAAACTTCCCACTGCTGGCATTGTAGTGATTCCCTTCATTCAGCATAATCCGGTTGAAGCGGATGGGCAATCGCTCTTTGGGGTAGCTCTTTGTCACCGCCACAGAGAAGGCTGATCGAGCTGCACTGCCACAGTTACATCCTCCTGGAGCTCCCTGCTGGCCCACGTCACCCAGCTCTCCTTTAGGGCCCCGTTTTCCCGAACCCCCCGGTGTTCCTCGCAGCCCCTTCAGTCCTCGAGGTCCAGCCTTGCCGATGACACCTTCACGCCCATTCACACCTGGCTTGCCTGGGTTCCCTGTCCTCCCTGGATCACCTAACAAATGAGGACATTTTTGTATTTTTACAAACAATGACTACATGTATCAACAAAACTCAGAAGTCTGACTTATCTTCACGTTCAGGTTCAGGTTCTTTAAAGGACTAAATACAGATTATAGACTGGCACTTTGAGAGATGCCAGTCCAGCTCCTGGGCACTGCCGAGGTACCCTGAAGCAAGGCATCCAACCCCCACACTGTTCCCCGGCTGCTGCCTAGTAGCTACCTACTGCTCCTAACACTAGAATAGGTTAAACGCAAAGTATGTGCTGCATATATTCCTTTCCATTTCTCATTAAAAAAACTATTGATAATACCAATCATAGGTAGGGCAGATTTTAATAAAAATGTTTAGCTGCTACAGCTGTTGTCCCTGAGACCCCAAACAGAAGTAATGTGTCTCTGTAGAAGACTTTTTTTATCTGACCCAATCATCAGAAAACCGTAAATCAACATTAAGGTTCAAGCCAGTAAGATGCCGTGTTATGTCATCTTTGTAAAGGGTTGAGGGTCTCAACAACCCCAAACGATTCGCATTACGATAGGAGAGATTCAGACAGTAACTACCTCCATCTCCCTTTTGACCTTTCTCTCCATCCTTCCCGTCCGGGCCATCCTTCCCTGGAGGCCCCTCAGGGCCCATGGCCCCGGGAGACCCAGGGGCTCCGGGGTGCCCGGCAGGCCCCTCTGGACCTGGCAGACTGCAGAGCAGCTGGGAGGAGTGGATGGTGATGTTGCGACCTCTCGGGGGCCAGGAATATGTTGATTTGGAGAAGACAACTGACCGCAAACACAACATCACACACATCTGGAGCATGATGGTAACTGTGGAGCCACAAGAAGATGAAGGAATGTAAATGTTTACACCAATAAATGTGTTCAAGTTTTGCGAGTAAGTCGAAAAAAATATTTTTTTATCATAAAACATCTGTCAAAAACACGGGAATGGAAAGTGGTGACTAAATGCATAGTATCAGCTATAATCTGAGGAAAACAATTATTATCATAATGTTTTAGTCACTGTCATGCTCTGACTCAGGTCTTACTGATGAATATGAGATCAATCAAATCTGTCCACAGCATGTTTTTCTCCAAGGGAGTGCATAAAACGCTTCTTAATCAGAGAAAGAACTCACCAGTTGAGAATGTGTGACCCATAGTCATCTTTCAGCTCTACGTCCTTTTTCTGCACAAGGGCACAGACTTTCCTACAATGTTTTCCAATAACCGGATGAGATAGCATTCTTCAGGAAGAGCTGCAGAGAAAAGTGCAGCCCAGTGAATCAGTCTTTAACATCCGCCCTGTTTAGCAAGTACAAGGCCAACACATACTTTCACAGTGACGTCATTAAACTCCAATCAGTGCAGCAGGGGTGCAGAGCTGAAGTGGTGACGCATCGCTTGTTCAGTCAAACTCTGGGGAAAAATGATGTTATATAACAGACATGTTTAGAACAAAGCATTTAAGGTTTGTTATACTGTTTACAATTTTGATAAAGTTACAACTGTGTGCGTTTTAAATATAACTCCCTAACAAGATGTTCAAGTGCAAAATCCAACAGAACAACAAGATGGTCTGCGGTATAGAAGTGTATAAAACGTAATGATGTGACCAGATGTGTTTACAGATGTGGTACAGATCTAAAAGGTCAATACAATATCCCAGCTGCTGGGCGAGGCAGTGCCTTGTTTAGAGACCTTTAACTGGAGCCATGGGAACATAAATAACATGACTGCTGGTTTTTGGGAAACACAACTAAAAGAATGATCACACAAAAACATGTGGACACCAAAAAAAAAAGAGTTCTCGAAAACCTGCACATGCTGTAATCTAGTAGTTGTTGTTCAATGTAGTTGTTAACTAATAAAAGGAATACAATTACATTTGGGAACAAATCAATAATAAAAGATAGTGATCTCAAAAGTTGTGCATTCAATCTAATTCCAATATTTATGTGGTAGTGTAAAATGCACATACTCCACATGCTGCTGTAAAAGCTCTACTCTTTGCATGTCCAAAGAGAATTTGTTAGAATCGGTCGAAAAACATTTTAATTGAATTATTATCCATCATTAAGAACCACTGAAGACATGAGCTACATTTCATATTGCAATGATGTTGGCCAATATGCATAACAAATAAAAAAACTGTTCACACAAGAATTCAGGCAAACATACATTTTATTATAAAAATTATGCAATAATCCGAATAAAAAGTAGTTGGATGTGCTACTATTGAGACATGAGGGAGGCTCGGTCATCTAAAAACAGCACTTACATTCTCTCACATGGAACTTAAGCATATATCAGTATTGTCCTATGGTCTGTCAACCTGTGGCCTCAAAAACAAAAGTATTCCAAAAAGAAATGAACACATTACTGTACACGTTTTGTCGAGTTTGTAACCAAACATTTGCTGAACTTTTGGAGTATTTTTGACCGAGCAGCAGCTCTGGTGAGAGTCCTTGGAAGAGTTTGGGTGAGTCAGCAGGTCACTGGCTGAGGAAGGAAGCCATGGGATCATCCTCCCGGCAGCGCTTCATGCGGAAGGCCTCCATCTCCTCCTCAGTGGGCGCCTTCACTTCCTGCAAGCTGTTGTACGGCCTCTTCCTCTCCTCCACCTGCATGATCGCCTCGATGTGCTTCACCCGCTTGTCCTCTGCTTCTAGTGCCTGGGAGGAAGAAACAAGTTGGAGGGAAATCAGCAAAACCTGAGACGAACACAGAACAACATTTTGGCAATCTGAAAGATGAAATATTTCACCTTCTTCAGCTTCTCCTTTTTCTTTTCTGCGTCATCTGAATCGCTGCCGTCAGAGTTGTGCTTCTTGTTCTTCTTGCTCTTCTTTTTCTTCTTCTTTTCTTTCATCATCTTATCTCGATGCATCTGGAGACATGGACACGGTTAACTTACTAATCCAGGGGTGGTAGAGCTTTTTAAGAATACATTAAAGTACTCTTAAAAGGTACAACAATAAGATTCACACACGCTTTCCATCACATCTTAATTGTTAGTATTAAAGCAATTAAGAAATGTATAGTTTACATGATTTCTCTATATCGGAAGCTATTAAATGTATACTGAACATTTTAAAGATATCTTAGTGGTTAATATACGTTTTGCATTTGACGGTATGTTTTGATCATGAGTTTAATTCATTTCTAATCAAAGCAATCAAAATGGTGAGTATACAAAATAAAACAACTATATAACTGTAAAAAACGAGATACATTTGGGAATAAGGCATTTTTTTAAGGATTACATATTTCATATATATTTCAAGCACATCCCTAAGTTTGAAAACAAAAAGTAATTCCAAACCTTTGTACAAACCCCCAAATGACACAATTAAGGCGGCAAAATGAACATAAACGCGTCTCAGCGCCACTTACTTCCAGCAGAGTCTTGGGCGGTTCTTCATCCTCGTCATCCATCAGTCCCTCCTCAAATGGAACACAGTCTGTGTGGTTCTTCAGGTTATGAAAAAAGTTAAAACACAAAATAAGTCACAGAGCTACAGTTATAAAAACTGATGTGTGAATCCCACAGAGCCTTCGGACACTTGATCTCCTTACCACTCTAAGTCCAGCATCTCCTGTGCAGTAACTCATCTTGACCATGGAGTGACAGCACTTGTATCCCCAGTAGCCGTCGTTCCAGAAGGAGCCCCAAATACACTAAAGACAGGAGAACGATTTTAGAATACAACAAAATGTGATACAACTCAGCGGGACGTTTCTCCGGTGTGTTCGGCTGTCCTTACATTGTGGTTGTTGATGACCACGTCCTCCTCATACTTGGAGCGAGCCACGGCCTTGTCCTGCCCCTTCAGCACTGCCCCGTGACGAGAGTACTCCACGTAGTCTTCCGTCTGGGCCAAGAGCAGCTCCCGTGGCGGGGCATCCAAGTGCTCTTCACCTCCGTACTGAGAGTCGCACATAAACGCAGAAACATCAGCAGTGAAGTCTCCAATCTGGAGGAATTCAACTACCGTAAATGTTGGCTGAGGGTTGACCTCTTACCTTCTCTAGAATGCTGTCCCTCTGTTTTTCCTTGAAGTCCTCCTTCTTGACCTTGAAGGACTTGTGGAGCAGCTCCAGCTTGGTGGGGTCGGCCTGCAGATGCACCTCCGAGCCCCTCTCATAGGCCTCCCAGGCAAACACTGTCACAAGATGAAGCATTTTCAGTTATTTACGAGGTACAGTACAGACAACAGCTACAAGTGGGAGAGGAAATGTCATTTGTATGTCTATCTTATCGTTAGGGTTTAAGGGATTAGGTCTGCATGATATAAGGCATGGGATTATATGAATATTGTTATACTTATATGTGATTAAAAAAAATACAAAATGTTGAAGTGTGCACAGATCTGCTGCTAGAATATAAACATTTTTGCTAATTTTGAATGTATATGCTTCTGTAACTAGCATTTATAATATATTATTATGATATATATTTCCAGTATCTTTATTTTCATAACAAAATTATAATGCCATTTTAAAGTTCTTCCTAAAACTCTATTTCAACTATCTACAAAAAAAGGCCCCGATTCCCTTTGTGTCCCATCTCATATCTCCGTGTCATATCAGAAGAGTGGATATGCTTTGAGGGGGAGGGGTAAGAAATCCCCCCCAAATCATGTTTTAATTGAGCTCCGTCTGCTAGCTGGGGGTTAATGTTATCTCCTCAGAAGTCAACTCTGTTTTTGCAATATCAGACAAATCACAGATCTTAGAGTGGAATTGGGGACTTACATTGTGTTTGAGCCATGTTGATGGTGGCCCCACTGTAACGAGCAAAGTTGTCTCCAGCATACCCAACCCTGTCAGACAAAAAACATTTCAAAAATTGTCATCAATATAAAACAATTCAAATTTTTTACCTATTTGGAAATACAGTAGCGACAACTTACTCGTCAGGGTTCATGCCGGTGTTGGAGTATGGGTTCTCTCTCATAGCTCGAGTCTTTGGATCATAATATGCTGAATCTGGATCCAAATTCCTCAAATACTGCAAGAAACAGACATGAGAAGTTGATATTAGTGGTTGTCTCTGAGTTACATAAACAGTTGCAACAGTTGACCTCAGAGGTATCACAGTAGTTCAGCAGATGCAGTTGGCCTGAGTCTCCAGATGCTTTCCGTACTTTAGCTGTGTCTTCTCTGATACGCAGGTTCCTGACAGTGATTCTTCTCTTGGAGTCAAAGTTCTGACCAGGCATGTCGATGTCATCTGCATATTTATCTTCATCCTCATCCTCACTGTCGTGTTCCCGCTGCTGCAGAGAAATTATTCAAAGAAAAAGAAAGTTAGTCTTCTAGACAAGAGATTGCCTTTTATCGCTTTACATTAGACAACAACATTGCTACTGCTATCTTGACCGCTCACTTACACCTTGGTCCAGTTTACCAGAGGCCAACTCATCCTGAAGCTTCTGGGCCTTCAGGGTCCTTTTGGCCTGTGAAGCAGAATGAAATACAAAGTGAGATCCCAGTGGTAAACAGGAAGCAGACAACTCAGCTAGAATGACTATGGTGACACAAAGGTTAACACTTGAAGCTTGATTCACCACTAGACTGCTTACCACATCTACTTTGGCGTACTCTTCCACGATGCGATGGTGGTCCTCAGGGTTATACCCGTTCCAGCGATCTCGCTTCCCGTCATAGTCCAAGTCCAGCTCTACCTGACTGTGTTCATCTGGAGCTATGCTAGTGCCTGTAAACTTTGCCCCAACTTTTCTGGGTCGCTAATGAGACAAGGATGAAGGTCAGAGGTTATTTATGACAGATATAATTATATTAATGTGAATGATTATAATTAGTGGAAGATTCAAGATTGCTTTATCCATTTTACCTCCAAGCACTCCTTCTTCTTGTGTGTCATGGCACCACAGTTTTCACAAGATCCCTTACGAAACTTTGTGGTGACAGACAACTGTTTGGAAGACAAAAGAAAAGGATGCTTTCACCTTTCAAGTTCATTTGTAACGACTACATGAAAGTAGCTGATTGATTAACCCTTACATTGTTCACTCCTCTCTTGTACCACTCTCCAATGGTTGAGAATTGCACCGCAATTTCTTCCTGTGGTCTCTGATGCTTGAGTGTGGGCCTTTTGGACGGGTCGATGTACCATGGCACCGATGAAATATACTGCGGGATGTGAGGATTGATGTCCCTGGAAAAGAAGGAAGCAGCACAGGTTAGTCCAATTACAACAGTAGTATCGTAAATAAGTCAAACTGCAGACCTATGTTTAAATCAATGGTAAATCAAATGAAATAAACAAAAGTTATCTGTAAACTAGGTGCTCTTTTAAAGAATGTCCTAGCTCTGTTTATGCAACATTAATATAATTAAGCCATTGCATTTTCACTTTGTGTGATCTGTTCCGTTTGTGCTTCATACCACGTGATCATGTTTCTGAACCACATAAATAGATAGGTCATGAAAAGTAGTATCCAGGGTTTTAGGGAGTTAAGTCAGTTGTTGAACAATGTTTGTTTTTTTAAGTCACAAGTTCCTGAACTTAATGGAAGTTCAGTTCTAAATCACTGAGTGCTCTTTTGAGAAATGGTGATAATTCCCCATTAGACCTTTACTCACTATATTTATTTTACAGATTTAGATTTTTCAGTACAAAATATAAATCAACCATGATATATAACTATAGGTTAAGCTAACCAGTAGAGTATAAAGCGATTTAAATAAACTCAACTTTTATCAAGTGCAACATTGAAGTGATGGACACAATACATAATTCTAATATAATATATGTGGGGGCTTAAATTGGCCATTCTAGCCATGAGTATTTTTGCTTTTGGTACTTAAAGTATATTTTGATTCCAATACATTTGTACTTTTACTTCAGTAATATTTTGAATGCAGGACTTTGAGTATTTTTACACTAGAGTATTTTTACTCGTGTAAATAATCAGAATACTTCTTCCACCTCTGCTGAGGACCCTCTCTCTGGGCAGACATGAACTTACTTTCCCTCCTCGTCCACCTCAGCCGGAGCATTTCCCAGCTTCCTCTGCTCCTCCAGCTCCTTCTTCTTCCTCCAGTCCTCACGGGTCATCTTCTTGGGCTCATCCAGGGCCACGAGCCCCTCCGGGTTCACACCAACCGTCGCCTCCTCATCCATGGCTGAACCTGCCAACAGACATATAAAGCTTCAGTAATTAACTAAGTACATTACTCAAGTACTGTATTTAAGTAAAATGTTGAGGGACTTTATTCAAGTATTTAAATGTGTTGTTTTGTTGTCCTACTACAATTCAGAGGTAAATAGTGTACTTTATTCCACTACATCTATGTATTACCTTTAGTTACTTGCAGATTTGCATTTATGGTGAGAAATATAATCAACTCTTAAAAAATACTTTAGTTACACCAAGAGTAAATTCAACAGCTAACGTGCAGCATACAAAGTCATTCAAACTAGCTGCACCTTTACCAGCTTTGATAAACACTTTAATGCATCAATAATTATAATCAAAAAATATCATACATATTATTCTGAAAAATCGTCAATCTGCACTTTACTTTTGGTACATTTTTATGCTAATACTTTTGCACTTGTTCAGGATTAACATGTTTGATTGCAGGACTTTTACATGTAACAGAGTACTCCTAAACTGAACTCTGGTAGTTCTACTGAAGAATAATATCTGAGTATTTCTTCCACATCTTGCTTTAGTACAGCCGTGTGACACAGCGAGGGGTTTATTAGATACATATCTGTGTACATATTTGAATATCTTACTAATATACTTCCCTTTGTTGTCATGAAGCCCCAGTGATTGAATGTTGTCCACAATAATACAAGTTAAACCGAAGCTATCCCTCTCACGTTAGCTAACCTTAGTTTACCGGATGAGTGACTTGAGAGTGAAGGAGATTGTTTATATTTAATTATTGAATTTAATCAATAACTTGCTTACCTTGTTAGGACACAATAAACACCAAGTGGATGATATTTCTCCGTAAAATGGGATTTTCTGTGTCTGTTTGCGATCCTTCGTTATGTTTTGACTAACACACGATGGTGGCCATTTTACGTCAACTGCAGCTACGTCACGTCCTCTCTTGTTCTTCTCTTGATTTATGGCGGGCTGCAAACCAACGTGTAAAGGTGCATGGCGCCACCTACTGTACCGGAGTGTGTAACTGCGAGACTGAGAAGAATAAAAAACAACTATGATCTATTTTAGAAATGAATTCTGTTTTGTTCAAATATTCAAATAAAGCCATTTCAATCTAAAGCTGTTAATCCAATCATATTTTTAACACCTCATAACAATTGCAAATAACTAGACTAACGTTCAGAGATGCAGCAACTATTGTATGATTTTACCTCCATTGTTATACAAACCTTGAAACAACTAACAAAAGCTACAAAACCAATGGGCTACACATTTGAACCTGGCCTATTTTAAGTAGGCTACTATACAGATAAAGTGCATTATTAGTTATTTTATTTTATTTATTATTATGTGGTTACTAGTATTTGTTGAATTAACGTTTAAAATACATTTAATAATAATAATAATAATCCTTATATTTATTATAGCGCTTTATCAATTACTCTCAAAACGTTTTACAAATACACATTACACATACAGATCATACATACATGTAATGGTCATCTACTGTGGACAATACCCACAGGAGCAAATTCGGGTGAAGTGTCCCCTTGATCTGATGATCAAACGCACAGACCACTGCGCCACCCGTCACTGCTTGTGTTTTGCATATTCCTGAATTAGTGGATGTAATCAGATTATTAACAGGTATATTGTGTGTTTTTTTTGTGTTTTGTTATTCAGTTGAAAAATATTTTTTAGAAGAACATTTATTTTATGCTTCCCATCTCCTGAATGCTGACATTGTTTGCTCATTAATAAAACATACAAAATATGGCATGATGCATAACGCTGACTTATTTAAAGCCTTTTAATTGATTGACTTGACTCTAAGAAAGGATTTGTATTGCTATATGTGAGGAACATAATACTAGATACCAAGCGATCATGTATTTTGATTGTATTATCTAAGTGGAGATGGCAACATTCAATTACCTCACTGTATTTCTGTGTGACTTAAATCCTGAGCACCTGTTAATATAAAAACAGTAAATCACAAAAGGAACAGGCTGTTTTTGTAGTGAGAAGAATCATCTAAAGTCTTCGAGACTCCAGTGGGTTTATTTTTGCATTCCTCAGAAGCACCAGGCAGACATTGCTCTGCCTAACTGTAACATGGACCAGTGAGAGCACTATTTTGATCACTCTTGTAATTAGAAAAACAAGGTTAAGACAGTAACAACAGAAGATGCCATTATGATGACAGTTTGGTCGAGGGAAACTTCTCACCTTTTTCTTAATACTCCAAACATAAAAAAAAGGCAGAACAAATGTAAACAATGTGGAGAACAAACAAAAGAACAGAACAGCACCAGACACAAAGAAACGTATCGGCAGAGTATAAAGAGACGGAGTCAATCTTCGAACCGTAGCACCAGTACACCCCCCCACTGTGAGTCCAGCAGTCTGGGGACGAGAAGGCAACGCAGCACCAAAGTAGGTACCAAAATATCAAACTCTCAGTCTTTTACGAAGTTTTGTTGTCCTTTGAGGGTCTTTTGAGAGTGTGGGTGTCATTTGTCATCATCTTCAACTCTCCCCCACTCCTCCCCCTCCACCTCCCCATCATTATCAGCTTCTTCATCCACATAATCCCCCCATGTGTCATACACATCGCCTCCTTCGTCCTCCTCTTCGTCATCGCCTTCCTCCAGAGGACCACCTCCAAAGTGCTGCTCATCCTCCTCGTCTTGAACAATCTCCATCTCCTCCATGTCATCATCTTCCTCCCCTGCTTCCTCTGCTTCTGCTTCCTCTTCTTCTTCTTCTTCTTCTTCATCATCATCATCATCATCATCGTCCACCTCCTCCAACTCTAGCCCACACACCTCCCCGTCCTCCACCTCACCGTCCTCCCTCTCGTCCTTGGAGGAGGTAGGAGTGGAAAACCCTTTCCCTTCAGTCCTGTCTGTGCTGTGCGGCCTGCTGGAGGGGACGAAGCTGGAGGTAGCAGTTTTTGTGTTGATGTAGAGACGTGGAGGAGGCCCAGGCGATGTGGCCGGACCCTCAGAGGAGGTCATGGGAGCAGAACTATCTCCCCCTGAGTCTGCGCCCACGGTGCCAGGCACAGCCGTGGCCCCGGGCCTCAAGGTGGGCACATATTCACGAATCTCCCCCGGCTCCAGGGGGTCAGGCCCACAGGGGTCATGTTCACTGCAGGACAGCTTGCCATCCAACTTGGAGATGAAGAGCATGCCTTCACGATGCTCCTTACAGTAAGAACTGGGGCACATCTCACAGAACGAGGCGGCCTCTTTACCACAGACGTCACACTGGTGCCATGGACACTCCCATCGCCCTGGGGAAAAGATCACTGTCATTACCGAGTGTAGAAGGAATAGGGGCGTAGCGGTATTGAAACTGTTCAACAAGGACAAAGGCCTATAGTAAGCAATTTGTTGGCTTGGCCTTTTTATTAAGTTAATTTACAAAATTATTCTAGCTTATTGTTAATTAGTTGTATTGCAGTTTATTCAATAAAACCAATACATTTTTCTTTAATGAATCGCCTGAGAAAACACTAAAAAGAAAGTGTTGAAAAATACTAACATTGATTTTGAGAATCGTTATACCCCTAGATAATGTATATTTTTGACTCCCACCGCCACCTACATTTGTCTATACTACAGTATTATAACCAAAAAAGGAAAATGTTTATGTTATTATATCCGTTTATAAACAAACTGAAAATATTTAATTTCGATCAAATCTAGTCTATAATCTGCATTTAGGTACGAAAAAGTTCAGATTATACTTAATACTAAATATATTATATTAAAAGGTTTTCCTTCAGTCCTACACTCGGTACGCTCTTCGTCCCCTCCCCGCTACTTGCCTGCAGGCCTCTTGGCCAGGTTGAGACAGTCTGCGTGATAGACCTTGGGGCAGCCCGGCTTCTTACAGGACACTATCTGTCCCCCGTCCCCACAGCTGAAGCACTCGTCCTCCCTCTCCTTGGTCACCTCTTGCTTGGTCTTCTTCTTCCTTTTACCTTCCTTTAGTTTCAGTTTCTCCGCTGATGGCTGGTTCTGAACAAGGAAAACAGAGGTTATAACGGCAGCTCATTTCACATGTCTAAAATGTGTCCCTGGTGGTTGAAAGTGTTTCCTAAAAATGTTTACCTTAGGACGGACACCTAGGAAACCGCTGCAATTTGATGCTCCACATTTACAGGCAGTTTTCCCATTGCCAAGACACTCCAGGTTGTAGTTGAATTTCAGCTCCACACCTAAAGTACATAGTTTATTACATCTTTGATTCTTGTAAATGTATCAAATAATCTGCATTTGTAATCCTACACAACACAAAAGAGCAAAATGAAAGTAGGCTGTCACTCAGACCTTGTGGGATGTCTTGTAGAGCAAACAACCCGACCCTGGTATCTCCATTCACAGTCCACTTCTGAGTCTCACAGTTTGGCTGGCAACTGTGGTTCATGAAGCGAGCCTTGTTCCCTTTGGGCCCCGCATCAATGATCCGGTCCTAGAATAAAAAATAAAAAACAGGTTTGCATCGGACGTCTACTTTAACTTGAGTGTGTTGCTAAGTAAGTAAGTTGCTTGTGTATTTGATCACCTTGTCCAGTGTTAGCATGTAGAAGTTACAGATGTCGTTCTCCTGGGCGTGTTTGATCCTGGCTCTACACTCTTCTTCATCGATCACCTCTCCGACGTATTCACTCACAAAGGCTCCCTGAGAAGCACCAGAAAAATAATGAGAAAGAGAGTATTAAAAACGTAGAGAGATACGCAAATATCATAGTCGTGCATTTTGCAATTATTTTATTTCTTCTTTTTTTTTTTTTTTATCGTTTCGTTTATTTAAAGTTTCAAGGCTTGCATGGAACAGCAGTTCAGTTGTTTAGTGTCATAGCCCATTTCCCCAAGGGTTATTTAACCAAGTGTCATTAGCTAAATACCCCTTTACATGGTAAGATAGGAATATTGATAATAAATATAAAGTCATCATAAATAAACAAAAATAAAGAGAAATAAACACAATTTATATAAAAGAGATAACATTAGTGATATCAAAAATTAAATTATACATTCATTAATGAAAAATAGGTGAAAACAAATAAAAAGGGAAGAAATGCAAATAAAATAATGATGTGATAATAACCAAAAAAAAATAGTTTTGACCATGGCCTATCTACATTTTTCCAACATACCTTTTTGATGTCCGATTCACCGACCAATCCCCAGCCGCACCCCAGTGTCCTGAAAATGTCCACGGGTGTGTACTGGCGCATTGTGAAGGTCTGGTTCTGACAGCGCTCCCCTGCCACACACACCTGAGGGTGGCACTCGTACATCAGCATGCGGTTAATGCACTCCGAGTCGATGCCGCACGGGTTCTCGTCCGACGCCTTACAGTTGCAACGTGGGATCTCTGATAGGTCGGCAGTAATGACCTGCACCTTCCCAATTAGCTTGTTCACCTGAGAGACAGACACAGGGGTGTTCATTTTTCACAGTTCATCTCATTGAACAGCGTTTTAGTCTAGGCAAAAAAGCACAAATCAGGGTTGATGACAGTACCTTAATGTGCCGGTACGGAGGAGGTTTCTTGTCGTTCTTTCTGTCCTCCTGAAGTTGCTTCATCTCCTTCTCTGCCTGGAGCTCTTTGAAGCGCTCCGCTGCAATATTCAGCGCTAAAAGACAAAACAGGACCTTTGTTAATAAAACACATCCTGAATACGTTAGTTAATGTCAAAAGCAGATTTAGACACAAAAACAAAACTGGACTCAATTACATACCATTTTTATACACTGCATCTGCGCCCTTTCCCATTTTCTCTATGTTTTGAGTGTCACCCTCCATGTAGGGGAAGACTCTGGCTTGGTACGTCCACACAAAGTCTTTGGAGCCAAAGAATTGCACAGGAAACTCTCCCACCTCATGTTTCATCCTTAAGATGTTGCTCGGGACATCTTTGGCCAGACAGACCTCTGCAG